AGAAACAAGAGCATTGAAGCGGCCAGGAGGATGAGCCTTAGTGAAGATATCAGCGGGTTGATCGACAGAAGCTATAGGGAGAAGACGAACAGTACCACAGGTAACATGCTGGCGAATGAAATGACAATCAATCTCAATATGTTTGGTGCGATCATGAAAAACATCAATGTGAGCAATCTGAATGGCACTCTGATTGTCACAATAGAGAGGGGTAGGATCAGAAGAAGAAACACCCATATCAGCAAGAAGCCAGCGAAGCCAGAGAAGTTCCTGAGTAGTATCAGTAAGAGCTCGGTATTCAGCTTCGGTGCTAGAGCGGGCAGTGAGGGATTGTTTTTTGCTACGCCAAGCAAGAAGAGAATCCCCTAAGAAGAAGCAGAATCCCGTGGTGGAGCGTCGATCCGTAGGATCCCCAGCCCAATCAGCATCAGAAAAGGCACGCAGCTCAAGAGAGGAGGAAGTAGAGAAGTGAAGACCATGGAACAGAGTGCCTTTGAGGTAGTGAAGGATGCGGAGTAGAGCAGTATAGTGGGGAGTGCGAGGAGCCAACATGTACTGACTGACAATGTAAACAACATAGGCAATGTCAGGACGAGTTACTATGAGATAGACAAGGCTGCCGACGAGTTGGCGATAAAGAGTAGCATCAGAGAGAACAGTCCCATCAAGAGGAGTGAGACGAAGCTGAGGATCAACTGGAGTAGTGGTAGTTTTGCAATCAGTCAGACCAGCACGAGCCAGAAGATCGGATGCATATTTGGCCTGGGACAAATAGGAACCAGTAGAATCATGAGAGACTTCAAGGCCTAAGAAGTAGTTAAGAGTACCAAGGTCCTTCATCTCAAACTGGCGGTGGAGAAACTGTTTGAGGTGGAGAATACCAGCTTCATCATTACCAGTGATAATCATATCATCCACATACAGAAGAAGAAGAGTGGTACCATGAGAAGTAGTCCGGATAAAAAGAGCAGAGTCATAGGAGCTAGAGATGAACCCGAAATCATGAATGGTAGAACTGAACGTAGCAAACCAAGCACGAGGTGCTTGCTTGAGGCCATAGAGAGCACGTTGTAGTTTGCAAACCTGATGAGGGGGAAAAGTGGACCCAGGTGGGGGTTGCATGTAGACCTCCTCAATAAGATAACCATTGAGGAAAGCATTTTTGACATCCATCTGAAAGAGCCCCCAGTGGCGAGCAGCAGCAACAGCAAGTAAACTGCGAACAGAGGTTAGCCGAGCAACAGGAGAGAATGTCTCCTCATAATCAATACCATATTCCTGGTTGAAACCCTTGGCAACAAGACGAGCTTTGTAGCGTTCAATAGAGCCATCAGAATGTGTTTTGATTTTGTAAACCCATTTGCAGCCAATGGCAGTCTTGCCAGGAGGAAGATCAACAAGATCCCAAGTATGAGCTTTGTCCAAGGCCTGTAGTTCATCGGTCATAGCTTGCTGCCAAAGAGGATTAGTACAAGCCTCACGATAGGAGGTAGGTTCATAAGTAGAGAAGGCAGCAGATCCAATAATATAATCACGAAGACGGATAGGAGGTTGAGTTACCCGGCGTGGTCGACCCGTAGGAGGATCGGTGAGAGGAAGAACCGGTGGAGAAGGAGGTGTGGCAATAAGAGGTAGACCTTCAGGGAGAGCAGGCTGGACAGGATCAGGAGTGAGCAAGGGCGTCTCGATGAGGGAGGAACCTGTATCAAAATCAGCAGAGAAAAGATCGACAGAAGGATTAGTAAACAGGACAGTAGTGGAGAGTGCGGGTAAGTGAAAAGAGGATAGCGAGGAAAACATTTGGTGCTCCCAGAAAACGACATGGCGGGAGATACGAAGACGTTTAGAGAGAGGATCCCAACAGCGAAAGCCTTTATGTTCAATTCCATACCCAAGAAAGCAACAAAGACGAGAACGAGGTTCAAGCTTGGTGTGTTCATGGGATTGAAGTAGAACAAAGCAGGCAGAGCCAAAAACCCAAAGATTGGCGTAAGGAGGGGGAGTGCCATGCAGACGTTCAAAGGGAGTTTGATTATGGATGACAGGAGAAGGAGCACAGTTGATAGTGTAAACAGCAGTGAGGGCAGCTTCCCCCCAAAAGTTTTCAGGACAGGAAGAAGAGAGAAGGAGAACGCGAGTAGTGTCAAGAATATGCCTATGTTTCCGTTCAGCAATGATGCACTAACATAATGCACTACACTAACATAATGATACACTAACATAATGCTACACTACACAAAGATAATGATGCACTAACATAATGCACTACACTAACATAATGATACACTAACATAATGCTACACTACACAAAGATAATGATGCACTAACATAATGCACTACACTAACATAATGATACACTAACATAATGCTACACTACACAAAGATAATGATGCACTAACATAATGCACTACACTAACATAATGATACACTAACATAATGCTACACTACACAAAGATAATGATGCACTAACATAATGCACTACACTAACATAATGATACACTAACATAATGCTACACTACACAAAGATAATGATGCACTAACATAATGCACTACACTAACATAATGATACACTAACATAATGCTACACTACACAAAGATAATGATGCACTAACATAATGCACTACACTAACATAATGATACACTAACATAATGCTACACTACACAAAGATAATGATGCACTAACATAATGCACTACACTAACATAATGATACACTAACATAATGCTACACTACACAAAGATAATGATGCACTAACATAATGCACTACACTAACATAATGATACACTAACATAATGCTACACTACACAAAGATAATGATGCACTAACATAATGCACTACACTAACATAATGATACACTAACATAATGCTACACTACACAAAGATAATGATGCACTAACATAATGCACTACACTAACATAATGATACACTAACATAATGCTACACTAACAATAACCATCAACTAAAATATTGTACACACTTTTTACCCAACTCCCTGATTTGTTTACTATCGCTTGCCCTTATGATTTCTCTGTGGGTCACTTACTCCAATTGATTAGATTTTGAATTCTGCTTTTGGGTTTGTTGCACTCCATTATTGGCCAAAACTATATATGTGTGTGTTTGCACTTGATATAGTGGTATAGATAGCTCTGTGAACTTTCTATGCTAGATGTAATTTTGGATTTTCTGTTTCTATAATAAATTGGTACTGTTTCTATGTTTTGTTGAATTTGGATTACATATTAATTTTGTTTACCCATGAAGACAACGACAAGTCACACCCATGAAAACAACGACAAGTCACAGAAGCCTCTCAAATCGTCAAAAAATTAAGTTTTGATCATTCAATACTGATTTTCTGAGTAGAATTGGTCTTATTTTTGTTAACGATGAACCATTCAAAATTATTTTCCTCTCTGTTGTTTTCCATTGGATTTGTAACCGAAACAAATTGAATTGATTTTAAAGAGGGAAAGAAAGCAAAAATAATTTGTGGGTTTGTTTATTGTTGTTGGTGGTAGAGAGAGAGAGAGAGGGAGAGAGAGAGATGATATGGGTTGGCTAGGATTTTGATATCCATTAAAGGTCATTTTATTTTAGGGTATAATTGGTATTAAAATAAAGTTTCATTAAGTGTGTGCACTAAGGTAGATAAGTGTGTAGAAATAGAATTTCTAGTGAGGTTGGAATAAAATAATCGTAAAAAAATAAAATATATTAAAAAATTAATAAAATAAAATATCACATCTAAATTATAATCATTTTATTTTTTCTTTTATAAAAGTTAAAAGTTCATCCCAAACAAGACTTTTTAACTCAGATTAAAAAAGCCAAAAAATCAACATATTTCCCAAATGAAGGCTATATGGCCTTTTTGGGAAACATAGCTAAAAGCTAAGCCCATCTCCAACGGTTCATCAAACTTAGCATCAAATTTGAAATTTGATGAAAAAGTCACTTTTTTTTCACTCTAATGGTTTCACCAAATTAGTGGCACTGTCTTTCACCGGTTTAGTCACATCCCCGGTGACAATTCGCCAGAGCTTCTTTCCTTTTAGGAAGGAGGACATGGCTTGGGCCCACAGAACATAGTTTGAACCATTCAAAATAACGGAAATAGGATGGGAGGCATCATGACGATCCATAATACTAGTTGAATAGGGTTTAAAGTAATATGATAGACCTGTAGGAGCAAAATTAGGTAAAACAGAGTGTACCAGTGAGTTCGGAAGGTCGAAAATAGCCAGGAAAGGTATGCTGGACAGAGATGATGTCAGCAAATATGTTAGCGGCGCACGTTAGCAGAGTGTAGGAAGGAACACGTTAGCAGGAAGCGGCGGTGCACGGTAGCAGTCAGGCGCAGACGCGGCACACGGTAGATGATTCGGCGCACGCGGGTGCACAATAGCAGGCGCGGCGTACGGGAGAGGCAGGGCTGACGTCAGCCGCGGGTCGTGTGGGCGCGTGTAGGCACGTGTCGGAAGGGAGAAACAACGGATGGCGCGTGCGGGCGCGTGTGAGAGTGGTGGCGGAAATGGTGATGCGCAGTGGACACTGGTGGCGTGTGTGGGCGCGTGAAAGGTTTTCTGAGGTCGGGCTTGGTGCCGTTGGAATTGTGAGGAAATTCCGAGTGGTTTGATGTAGTGCCGCTGTGGATGGGACTAAACACCAAAATCGCAAATTGCCAGAAATGTAACACTATGCTCTGATACCATGAAATAATAATTGGAGAAAGTGAGAGAAGATAGAGATGAGCGAATAGAGAGAGAGAGAGAGAGGCACAATTGTTTCTATAAATTGTATATATCAATTACACAAAGAAGGCACTCTATTTATAGAGGATGCCTTGGATGATTGCCCACCGAAGGTGCTACACTATGAACAATTAAATAATGATACACTAACATAATGCTACACTATGAACAATTAAATAATGATACACTAACATAATGCTACACTACACTAACAAACACAATGATGATACACTAATATACACTAACAGCTCCGGTGGGAGACCGAGTCGAAGAAGAGTCAGACCTCGTTTGGGTCGGCAGCAAAGACAAGGCACGGCTAGGTTGAGAGGAATAAAAGAACTCCATGGACAGAAGAAGAACACAGGTACATTTTCTGGGTTGTTTAGATTCTTTTCTTGGCTACCAAATAGAGTGTTTTCTCGGGGGCCAAACAGCGCATCTAGTTATGTACATGAGTTTCTTGATTGAAATTTTTTTCCCTCTTTTGATTTTGTGTTTTATAAAGAACTACGGTGATGCGCATAGCCTCCTGACAAACGTAGGCAAAAACGCTCAAGAACATGTTTGGAGCAATGCACAGACAGCATGTTTTTTGGATTGATGTTGCTGCTGTATTGTTTTTGGTAAAACTAACTCTCTCTCTCTCTCTCTCTCTCTCTCTCTCCAAAATGAGTGACCTTTCAGTAGCATCACATTGCCAATTTTCTACTCAAAAGAATATTGTTTCTAGCTCAATTTGTGTACTAAAATTTTCTAATCACAATAGTGCATTTTCAGATCAAATGCATTCTCATTGTAGTTTAACTTAATGACCATGAATAGATGTGGAAAATTGATTAATTCCCATTGACCTTTTGTTCTACCAAAATAACTCGAGCATTTATTGACTAGTGTGATAAGACTAATTGATCAGTAGATAGTACATAGTTGATGGCTCTAGCAGGGAACTCATACTTTTTAGCTGCATAAAAGGAGTTTATGATGCCAGAACACCAGCTTCATCTGCAGCTGCACATCCTTAGAGGATGAATCAATTTTGGATGTCTTTTTATTCTCAATTTTTTATTTTTTTTTTATTTTTAGTGACATAAAGAAGGAAATTGTAACAATTATGTTTGAGAATTCTGATATGTGTTGGAACAAATCATTGTTGCGGTAGGCTTCAATGAGTTTCAGGTCATTTTGTTATGTTTTGATGCACACAATGGAATTTTGTTTTTCCTCTAATGATTTTTGTTGATTTTCTAGGAAACAGAAACATTTTGGCAATTTCGATGGAAATGAGACTAAATCTTGTGGTCTGATCGCCTTTCATCAGTGTTAGTTGTTTTACCAGTTTTCCACCTCCATCTCCTCTTCCTAAATTAATTGTTGAAGTAGCTTGGTGTTTCTAGTCATCTTTACACAACTCTTCATGTGAAACCTGCTTATTCCAGAAGTTGATAGATTTTTCCATGGTCTAACTAAAACCTGGTAATCTGAAATTTGGGAATAAGATGATCATGTTCTTATAATAGCATTTTCTATTGTATGGTATAATGACCTTTAAGTGCCACCACTGCAGGAAATTTAGCTTTTAGCGGCGTTTAAAAAACGCCGCGATAAGTGCCAAAAACGCCACTAATTCTTTTTGTGACGCTTTGCACCAAACGCCGAGGACGCGGCCGTCGCTATAGCATTGTGGCGCTTTAAAAACGTCGTTAATTTGTTATAGGCGGCGTTTTAAAAAACGCCGCTAAATGTGGTACATAAGGCAAAGTGACGTCATGACAATTTTTAGCGACGCTTTAGAAACGTCGTTAATTTGTTATAGGCGGTGTTTTTTAAAACGCCTCTAAATGTGATACTCAACTGCAAAGTGATGTCCTGACAACTTTTAGCGACATTTCAAAAACATCATTATAGCTTTCTTAATTTTTAAAAACCTATATAGTGAGGTTCGGAAAAATGCCATTACATCTTTATTTTTTTAATTATTTTTTTTTAAAATTATTACTTGTAATAAAATTGCAAAGTAGCACTAATATGAAACAATAACTCCTATTTCCATTCAAATGAACATTTGTCAAAAGAAAAAGGCAGAAAAATAACAAAAGAATTGATTTGAGACCAAGCCAGTATCTAGTGATATGTGAAAAGGTCTATAATAACATTACGTGCTCCAACAAAAAAATATTTGAAATAATAAACCAGGCAAATTTTGGAAATCATCCAATAATGGGATTAGTTATGAGGCTGCAAACATCAATTAAACCATTAAACTGCCTTCCACCACCATTCTTAGCAGCTGTAGCATCATTAGCCAAACGTGTTCGAGCATAATCTAGGGAATAAACAAAAAGAGAAGATGAAGCACCAGCAGCAGCACCTGACGCCAAATTCCCGGCAAACCACTTCCAGTAACCATCCTTGTCTCTCTTGAAATTAAACAGCCTCTTGAAATAATCTTTGAAAGCAAAGTTCAGGGCCTGAAAAGGATTGATGAAATTGCAAATTCTGTGAGACATTCTATAAAACAAGACATGGTTGTCAACAAATGATAAATCAAAACGGAAACTTAATGAATCACATCGACAAGCCAGCATTTTTAATTCAAACTTCCAAAACTGACAGGATGAAGCTGTTTGGAGGACCTAAATCAAATCCAGATTAGACATCACTTCCTTTCAAATTTCAGGATGTCAATCCATCCCTTTGTTAGCAAACACATATATATACACTAATTATTATGCAATTGTTAGTTCTGCAGACCACACACTCACATGGGGTTGTCCCATCATGTGAGAGGCAGGGTTGTGGAAGAGATGTTTTAGACTGCGGAGATAACTGCTCCCATACTAATCGAGAGCAGAAAAACAAAACAAAAGAAATGGCAAGATTAACAAATATAAACAAAAGATAGGCTAACCTGGGTTGGGAAATATCTGATAACATTGGTAGTGTTGCTTCTCCACAAAGCAATAATGCCTTCATCCTTAATTGTTCGGGCAAAGCAGTCAGAAATTCCTTTGTATGGTTCAGGCAGCCGACCAGCTTTGATCATCTCATCCTGGTTCTGAATCAATAGCTTAACTCGCTCTATCGGAGCAGCAACAGTCTTGGATACAGCACCAGAAACCCCTCCCATGAGGAAGTCTATCATAAAACTACGAAAACCTTTTTCTGCGGGAGCTTGTACAAAAACAGAGGATAGTGGTGATGCAAATTCCAGGCCAGTGCCTTGGAATGTTGGTGGAGGATAGTGGTGATGCAAATTCCAGGCCAGTGCCTTGGAATGTTGGTGGAGGATAGTGGTGATGCAAATTCCAGGCCAGTGCCTTGGAATGTTGGTGGAGGATAGTGGTGATGCAAATTCCAGGCCAGTGCCTTGGAATGTTGGTGGAGGATAGTGGTGATGCAAATTCCAGGCCAGTGCCTTGGAATGTTGGTGGAGGATAGTGGTGATGCAAATTCCAGGCCAGTGCCTTGGAATGTTGGTGGAGGATAGTGGTGATGCAAATTCCAGGCCAGTGCCTTGGAATGTTGGTGGAGGATAGTGGTGATGCAAATTCCAGGCCAGTGCCTTGGAATGTTGGTGGAGGATAGTGGTGATGCAAATTCCAGGCCAGTGCCTTGGAATGTTGGTGGAGGATAGTGGTGATGCAAATTCCAGGCCAGTGCCTTGGAATGTTGGTGGAGGATAGTGGTGATGCAAATTCCAGGCCAGTGCCTTGGAATGTTGGTGGAGGATAGTGGTGATGCAAATTCCAGGCCAGTGCCTTGGAATGTTGGTGGAGGATAGTGGTGATGCAAATTCCAGGCCAGTGCCTTGGAATGTTGGTGGAGGATAGTGGTGATGCAAATTCCAGGCCAGTGCCTTGGAATGTTGGTGGAGGATAGTGGTGATGCAAATTCCAGGCCAGTGCCTTGGAATGTTGGTGGAGGATAGTGGTGATGCAAATTCCAGGCCAGTGCCTTGGAATGTTGGTGGAGGATAGTGGTGATGCAAATTCCAGGCCAGTGCCTTGGAATGTTGGTGGAGGATAGTGGTGATGCAAATTCCAGGCCAGTGCCTTGGAATGTTGGTGGAGGATAGTGGTGATGCAAATTCCAGGCCAGTGCCTTGGAATGTTGGTGGAGGATAGTGGTGATGCAAATTCCAGGCCAGTGCCTTGGAATGTTGGTGGAGGATAGTGGTGATGCAAATTCCAGGCCAGTGCCTTGGAATGTTGGTGGAGGATAGTGGTGATGCAAATTCCAGGCCAGTGCCTTGGAATGTTGGTGGAGGATAGTGGTGATGCAAATTCCAGGCCAGTGCCTTGGAATGTTGGTGGAGGATAGTGGTGATGCAAATTCCAGGCCAGTGCCTTGGAATGTTGGTGGAGGATAGTGGTGATGCAAATTCCAGGCCAGTGCCTTGGAATGTTGGTGGAGGATAGTGGTGATGCAAATTCCAGGCCAGTGCCTTGGAATGTTGGTGGAGGATAGTGGTGATGCAAATTCCAGGCCAGTGCCTTGGAATGTTGGTGGAGGATAGTGGTGATGCAAATTCCAGGCCAGTGCCTTGGAATGTTGGTGGAGGATAGTGGTGATGCAAATTCCAGGCCAGTGCCTTGGAATGTTGGTGGAGGATAGTGGTGATGCAAATTCCAGGCCAGTGCCTTGGAATGTTGGTGGAGGATAGTGGTGATGCAAATTCCAGGCCAGTGCCTTGGAATGTTGGTGGAGGATAGTGGTGATGCAAATTCCAGGCCAGTGCCTTGGAATGTTGGTGGAGGATAGTGGTGATGCAAATTCCAGGCCAGTGCCTTGGAATGTTGGTGGAGGATAGTGGTGATGCAAATTCCAGGCCAGTGCCTTGGAATGTTGGTGGAGGATAGTGGTGATGCAAATTCCAGGCCAGTGCCTTGGAATGTTGGTGGAGGATAGTGGTGATGCAAATTCCAGGCCAGTGCCTTGGAATGTTGGTGGAGGATAGTGGTGATGCAAATTCCAGGCCAGTGCCTTGGAATGTTGGTGGAGGATAGTGGTGATGCAAATTCCAGGCCAGTGCCTTGGAATGTTGGTGGAGGATAGTGGTGATGCAAATTCCAGGCCAGTGCCTTGGAATGTTGGTGGAGGATAGTGGTGATGCAAATTCCAGGCCAGTGCCTTGGAATGTTGGTGGAGGATAGTGGTGATGCAAATTCCAGGCCAGTGCCTTGGAATGTTGGTGGAGGATAGTGGTGATGCAAATTCCAGGCCAGTGCCTTGGAATGTTGGTGGAGGATAGTGGTGATGCAAATTCCAGGCCAGTGCCTTGGAATGTTGGTGGAGGATAGTGGTGATGCAAATTCCAGGCCAGTGCCTTGGAATGTTGGTGGAGGATAGTGGTGATGCAAATTCCAGGCCAGTGCCTTGGAATGTTGGTGGAGGATAGTGGTGATGCAAATTCCAGGCCAGTGCCTTGGAATGTTGGTGGAGGATAGTGGTGATGCAAATTCCAGGCCAGTGCCTTGGAATGTTGGTGGAGGATAGTGGTGATGCAAATTCCAGGCCAGTGCCTTGGAATGTTGGTGGAGGATAGTGGTGATGCATTAGGTATTTTTTTTTCCTCATGTAATCTAGATTCCAGGCTTTTTTTTTTTTTTTTTTCTTCTTCTTTTTATCAAAAAAAAATAAAAAAAAATGTTTCTTTCCTTTTGAAGGGTGCTTTTGTAAAGGGTACACTGCAGGAAACATTCTCTTTGCACATACCTGCATGAAATGTTTAACCTGTTACTTATAGGGGAAACAGATGCAAAAAGAAGAGATATAAAAAGAAAGCTCAATGAAGTAAATATGGCATACAAAACAATTGACAAGCATAATGTTTTTTTGTGTTCTACTTCAGAGGACAGATACTGTCCATAATATTATATAGAATGTAAGCACTATCCGAAATCAAAACAACTCACTTAACATTACAAGGAAAACTAACCACCCATAAGCATACTTGAAAATTTTACACAGAATTAACCATTATGAGAATATTTCTTTCTGTAAAGGGAATAACTCCTCAACATGTTTGAAAGATAATTTTCTCACAATAACTTCGATTATTTTCAGAGAGTAAATTCATTGCACATATAATGAATGTAACTAGAATAAAATCTGGTTTCATTCTCAACAGAAACAACACTGGAAACAGAGAAATTTGGGAGCCGAAGATCTTAGCCTCTATACAAATAAACACGTGATAAGTATTTACATGAAATATGATTAAAGAAAAGCGTGGTTACTTGAATGCAGTTGCCACTGGACCTATGCCGAAAACTGAAGCCACGATAATCTCCCTAATTAATCTCTGCGATGAAAAACAATAACAATTACATCAAAAAATTAAGCAAGAACAATCAAAATGTTGAGGTGGTTTTAATCGTTAAAAATCACCAGAATCTTGCTCATGATGGTGGTCAAACCAATCCACGCAACACGTTGAATCAAGCCTCCTCCAAAGAAGACAAACAAGTAATGGGACCCACGGTTTCAACCAATAACACTTAAGTTAGGACACCACCTAAATTTGTTCTTGGGATAATGAATAATTTCT